AACTTTTTGAACATTCATTTTTAAAAGTCCCATCACAGCAGATTTTTTTTTTTTTCTTAATCCTAAGCTTCTGTATTTCATGTGGTTACTCTATTCTCTGAGTTCTTGTGATTCCAGATAGAAATTTGCTTTGCTCTTTAAGGCATTTAGAGCTTAGGGTGAACAATATGAAAATGGTTGGTCAACAGTGGTGATTATCTGACGTCAGGGCTTCACTCCACGTGCAGCCTTTCCTCCACATCTTGGAAAATCCTCTCTGGATGGGTGGTCACTCAAGAAGAGAAGTGTGCTCTGTTCATTGCTCAGTAACAGAGGTGGAAATAAAATCATTTATTTTTTAAAATTTTATTTTATTTACTTATTGGCTGTGCCATGCGGCATGTGGGATCTTAGTTCCCCAACCAGGGATCACATCGGTGCCTCCTGCAGCAGAAGTGCAGAGTCTTAACCACTGGACCGCCAGGGAAGTCCCAAATCACTGTTTATTGATGGGGCTGCCTTGGGTTTCTCTGGAAGGTGTCCTCATGGTAGCCAGCGCTGAAGCCAAAACACCATGAGGCCATCTGTTTTCCGAGGCTCATTGCAATTTGTTCCCAAGTGGTATCACTGCATAGTTTCCCAGACTTCATTAATAAACAATTGAGATGAAGAAATCATTCCCTTACTTTCCAGGTAAGCTAAGCAGTTTGTCTTAATTGCTTAGTCAGCCTTTACTGAGTGACTACCTGGGGATCCTAACCAATCACCTCAGTAATAGTGATGTGAATGGTGAATTGGTAGTAATTTTCACAGAGGTAGCTATGGGTTTTTAAGTTATCTGATGTGTACTATTTTCCCCAATTGAAATTATAAATATTGCATATATATGTGTATAGATATTCTAAATGAATGCTTGTTTTAAATTACAGTCTGTCCTTTCCCATGGCACTGTGGCCGACTGCGCTGTTGTTGGCAAGGAAGACCCTTTGAAGGGTCATGTCCCGTTAGCACTCTGCGTGCTGAAGAAAGGTGAGAGGTCTTTCTCCTCCCCGACTGCTGGGGCCCTGAATGATTAAAGTTAATTCAGAGCTTACCATCTGAACTTTCTCCCTAGATATAAATACAACAGAGGAACAAGTCTTAGAAGAAATTGTGAAACATGTTAGACAGAGCATTGGCCCCGTGGCTGCTTTTCGAAAAGCGGTGTTTGTGAAACAGTTACCCAAAACCAGATCTGGCAAAATTCCCCGCTCAGCTCTGTCTGCCCTTGTCAATGGCAAGCCATATAAGGTAAATTATCAAGGATGTTGAGTGCTTGGTTTTGAAATGTTTTCCCCCACTTCTTTGGTGTCAACTAAGATCTTTCAATGGTTCTCAAGCATGAATTATATCCCTAAAAAACACGTAACAGTACTTTTTTTTAATAATACGGGGGAAAAATTACATAGCCATTCTCTCTGTAGGAATGAGGGTTTTGGAGAGAAACACAGATTAATTAAGACCATACACTTTTGATTATAAGAACCAGTATGTGAAAATATTTTACTGTTAGTAAATATGTCAAATTCAAACTTGTGGAAACTCAATCTTATTAAATTAAGGATAAATTTTCCTTCATTGCCGTCATTAGTGACTAATAGTGAGTGAGAGGCTGGCTATAGATATTTTGAAAATTCTAATTGATATATATGCTCATTATTTTTCCTGTTTTGAGTGAAAATTATTTTAGGTAATTTAGGCTGATTCAAGCATATGCATTCTTTTAATTTTTGTGCATACTATACATGCACAAATATATGTATTTTTAATCATCAAGATCTAATAAAAAGTGATGCAACAGTAAGGAGTGGTTGTATGGGCAAATGCCAAAAAAAAAAATGCTTTCTATAGATGCTCATTGAAAGGCCCATAAAAGAAAGTACCATCTAGGACCAATAGTTTTGCTAACTGAACAGTTTATTTTACTATAGATACATTTTAAAATATTGAGTTCAAAGTTCCCTGTTTTTGAACCTTTCCATATGAGTATGATAAGATAATGGGGAATACAAGATTGCATATAATTGTTTAATTGTATAGAATGGAGGGTTCAATGAAGCACCTTCATCTGGCTCTAATTTTCTTTCCAGGTATCTCCTACAATTGAAGACCCCAGCATTTTTGGGCACATAGAAGAAATGCTGAAGCAGGCATTATGACTTTTTTTTCTTTTTTTGTCACTTTTCTAATTGGAGTTAGATTTTGGAATTATTTCCCAGAAATAAATATTTAAATAGAAATTACATGCAAACTGAAATGTAAATTGTAGAGCTTGGTCTAAAAACAATGTACGTGAAAACTAGTAAAAGGCCTTCTGTTTGATTAGCCCAATTAGCACTGTTACTGGTTACCTGTAACATAGCTCATTATAGATTTTCCAGAACTTTGATTTAAGAAAAATATATCTGACATACGATTTATAAAAATTGTACCCCCCAAAAAAACATTTTAATTGAAAGTGACACTAATATCGAGCCACTTGCTGAAATTAGGACTCTGCAGCTTTGACCCAAGACCTAAAACTCAAGTGAAGTCAGAAAACAATTATAATTTTCTTATAGAAATTCTGAATATTTTCTAATATTCTTGAGATGCCCACATGCATGGTTATTTTAAATGAAATGAATGAAATGGGAAGTTTTAGGTAATCATCTAGACATGATTTTCTAAGTAGGAGAATCTGTCTAGTCACATATTTCCTGAGGGAAGGCTGGGTACCAACCAAGGTACAGCTCTCTTCAATCCTTTGTTACTTAGTCAAGGGGAATCACAGGCTGGCAGAGAGCATAGAGGTCAATTAATCCAATCTCTTTGTCATGGAGATGAGGGCTCTTTAGCTGACTGTATACTCTTAATGATTCCAGCTTCTTTTGGAAACAAGGAAATGTGTAGAAATGGGGAAACTGGCAAGGAAAGCTCTTAAGGAAGAAATGTAAAAGTTTTTACATTAGCTAAAAACCGGGAGGAGTTTTAAGAGCAACCAAAAATCCAGATTTTATGTGAAATCTCTAATTTTTAAATAACTCACTAAAAAAAAAAAAAATTGTCATATCCAAAGCACATCTTTCCATTTAAACTTCTGTAAAACTATTGAGCATTAAAAAAATAACTGAAAATTAGTCTTTGTTAATAAGCATATGATAATGTGCCAATTATCCAGAGTAGGTAGATATAGATAATTACTGATTTGGTTTACTTAGGGCTCTACATGAGATCAGTTATCAAAGAATATATTTAAACTCAAAAAATACCATACCCATGTCTTGACGGTTCTTAAAGTATTCCTCAGTCTTTCAGTCCATCAGGAACATTATTTTTAAGAGCAACTGTCTTAACATATAGTCTGGTAACATATCACGAAATATATATGAGAGATAATAGATAAGAGCTTATTGTTTGTTTCATAAAAATTGCTTACAACTTGTATAAAGACATTCTGAAAATGTGAGGATTTTTTGGACTGTAGCCTATAAGATAAATGGCTTCTCAAAGTAAATTGTTATTTGCTAAAATTGGCTTTTTGATTGTTACACCTGAAAAAATACATTTATCTAACTATTCCTTTTAATTATTTTAGCAGACTGAGTTAAACTAATTAGATAGATATTCAACTTATAATTTGAAGTTGTTGGGTTCCTTAAACTGTCTCTTCTCTTGAGTACATTTTATCTTATCACAACTGTAATCTTACACTTTTTAATGTCTTAGAATTAAGATGTATTACCTTCTTTTTTCATATAAAATTCAGTTAATTTGAAATGGCAAATTGTTTAGGCGATTGTGTATCATAGTTCATCTGCAAGGTATAAACCCAGGCATATTCAAGAATTGTGTTAACGATTACATCTTTGATCCTCTTGCACATTTTTCGTGGTAATCAATCTGAGAGACACTTCAGCAAGCAGGCTTGGGTTATTTTCCTGTTGAGTGGGATTGGAAAACAGTGCACAAGACCGGGGAAGTGGTGTTTTCTTGTATCTGGTTAAAGAAAGTGATCTCCTTTGCAGGGTCAGAGAAAGTACTGTTCCTCTCACAAGACTGAATGTGGGACAAGAAAGATACAGTCATCAGATTGCTTAAATTTTGGAAGAAAAAAAGGAATTTTCTATTTTAATACTTACCATAAGGTACTTTCACTCAATAGTACTTAAAATATTTTGAATTAAATGTCTTTAAAAATAACAATATAATGTTACTAAAAAATGTAATTTGCTGAAATAAATTCTGCATGATCTTCTTTTGGTAGTTGCATAGAATTTTTTTACTGTAAGGTATTAAAATTAAAATGTAAATATTTTATTTTAAAATCTATAGAAAAGTGCCAATTAATTGATTTTGCCTGTGAAAATGTACTAAGTGTATACAAATGAGAACTGCTTTACATTTAAAAGCAGTTTTATTTATATAAAATTATATTTGTAAAGGCTCTGATTATTAAAAATATGAAAATTCATAATGTTGATAGTTAAAAGGAAGAAAACCAAGGTTCTAAGCTTAATCCATGAAATGGGTTTTAGAATCTGGCAAAATGATCTTATACATCGAAGAATATTTTATGGTTTTTGAGGCAAGTAACTGGATCTTTTATATCCCTGTATGTTAGTCTATTTTAAATGGTTAATATCTCTTATTAGGTGATCTCTTAAAGGGGAAGAACTGTTTATGCAATTAAGTTGTGCAGAACAGTAGATACAAATCTAGTTTGTATTATTATGATACCATAGTTTCTATATTATATTTCATTTCTGTAAGTCAAGATCCCCATATTCAGACGAACTTAAAAAGCTCTTTCCCATTGTTTCTAATCAGGCAACGTTTTTAGAAAATTTAAAATCACTTTCATAAGCAAGTTTAGTGCTCCCTCTTGTGGCAGACTCACTTTTGAAGCTAAAAGACTGATCACTAAAAAGAATGATTTTCATTATAGTTTAAGTAAAATTTTAAACTATATGTGACTAGAAAACAAAGCTTAAACAGAGAACTGGAAGTATTTTTGTTTATTGACAATGGAGAGGGTTTCTGTTACCATTACCTTTTGAGTGAATCTGTTAAACAAAAATTGACATCAAAACAAATGTAATGTACGTGCAAACATAGCAAATTAAATACAAAAAAGGAATTACTAATGACAGGTCTTGCTGTTAATAAGATCAAGCAGCAGAAAATCAGCAGTTAGATAAATGGTATTCTTAAATAGATTTTACTTTGAAATCTCCCATATAAACAAAGAATAAACAACAGTAACACCACCAAATAAAGCCACAGGGAAGAGGTTATTCTTCTATACTTTTATACACTATATATGTTAATCATTCTGTCTTATTTCCTCTGATAAGACTGACTTCAGGGAAGTCGCAACAAGGCCTTCTCGGCTAAGAGCATATAACGTTAGTTAGACATGAGTCTGGCTAATGCCCTATTACATTGACAAAAGGGAAAGGTTTCTGGGGTTTTGCTTTTTCCAGTGGAAATGACCTCAGACTCTGCAGTGGTTGACATTCACTGAACAGGGCTGGCTGGAGGTTCAAGGTATTTGGATGAACATGTGGTTCTTAGTAAAGAAGTTTTTTTTTTTTTTTTCCCTTGGTCCATAGGTAATAAGAAGAGAATTTTTTTTTTCTTTATAAATTTTTTTAAATAATTGCTTTTGACTCTTGTAAACAGTTTGGCTTTGTTTTGTATTGAAAAGGAGATCGAGCCATCACAGTGCTATTTCTAAAGATATAGGACATCCCTGATTTCCTTTAAAGGTCTATTTTTGGCTCCAGTTCCAGGTTAAATCATTCTTTTTTACATGATCAGAGGCAGGTTTTCAGCTTTAAGGATTGACAGACTTGAAGGAGAAACATGTTGGAAGCATGAAACATGCTTCCAGGAAACATATCAATTTGTTACAATTCAAAAACTGTAAAAATGGTGGAATGGTAAAATACAAACAGTACTTGGAATTGTCAAATGTTTGCACTCAAGACTCCATGAACCATATATTTTATTTTTAAAAAAATCATATTTATATCCATTTACATAAGACTTACACATTTAAAAAGAAATGCATACACAGTAATACATAAATGCCAAGTATATTACAATAAAACATGAAAAAACAAGTGGCTCCATTTCATAAAAGCATCTGTTGTACAGAATTTATGATGTGGATGATGCTTATTATTCAAATGACTTAAGCATTTTCTTACAATTGTAGTAAACTAATCAAACTTAATATCTGACTCCCCCCAAAATCACATTTTCAGCTTAATAAACCATTAGTTGTGATTATTTCCTTAGAATTCAGTCTTCACAAAGGTTTTCACTGCTTATCTTCTTAGATGGTAGTGCACTTTAGGTAGAGTAGACTGAAAAGACGACATCTAAAATATGTAATGGACAGCATTAGTTTACTGAAAGATCCCAGATTGGAAAATCTCCCTCTGCGACTCTTGGTGCACCTCCATGCATCCTGCCCACTTTTGTCCTAAGGGTAGGATATCATCTCAGGTCTAACCAATGGCTGTATGTAATTAATATTTGCTCCTCTCTAATTTTGTGCAGGCGAGGTTCATAAATAAGATTTGCTCAACTTTGTAGAAAGTATGGCAGTAATATAAACAAAGGTAGTCACAGAAAACCTCAGCAGTCCTTTTGAAAAGCGTACAGCTTGCTCATTAATAAATTGAGTTGAGTTGACCTATTTCATGGAATAGATCTGTATTCTAACTCATATATTTTAGAGCTCTTCAAAAGAGATCTTTGTTTAATTGTGACAAAAACATAATGATAATCAGTAACATATAAAGAATCTGGGTTAGTGATGTGGCATCACTGATTCTTTCCAGTCATAATATACTTAGGAAAAGATCACAATTACTATCCCGACACAAGAGATAAATGATATGTTCTGAATTGTGTTAATAACAAAAATGCTAATGTTTCCTCACAATAGAAATTGGTTGTCCCAGATTAACTTATTGGAAATAAATACCTTTATTCCATTTAATGGTAAAAACTAGGAAATATGAACTAGAATGCCAAGCACAAAATACAGATTATAAATAGTTAAAGAGTAATTCTACCCATCAGTCAAGAGCTAAGAAGCAAGCACTACTCAACATATTAAGTAGTCATTTGTAAATCAGTGACGTATTCTAATTCTAGTTCCTGGTAAATTATCATGTTATGTGTAGAAACTATTACAAACAGTATTTTGGAAAGCCTCTTATTTAGCCAAATTATTACAGATTTTAGATCATGCCTAATAAGATGCCAAATTGTATACCATAATTAAATTTTTAATGTTAGGGTTTTACATTCTGAAATTAAATCTCTTATCTGAAAGCTTTTTGTTTTATCATCAGCAGCTTCAAATAGTGACCCAAATAAGGCAGCATATCAGCTCCTATTAAGGCCCCAAAGACCAACAGTAAGTTGTGTGGAGCTTTTAGTTCAAGGCAGTGAATAAACAGCACAAGATGAGCTGTTCCCCTCCCCATCCCTGTGCACATACTTGGTTCTAAATATTGCTCTAAAAAGTGTTTCTCCAAAATTTTAATTCATCGTAAATGGTAGAATATTTTGGTAAAGCACAGTTGTAGATTAAAAAATGTTTATGAGTTCTTGACATTTATTTTCTATGAAGACACAGTTTTACTAAGACCGGTTTCCAATAAAATTCCATTTTCATATGGATTTGGAATTAGAGTCCATCAACTAGTATTTCTCGAAGTACAAATGCCTTATAGCTTATGATTTTATAGGATGGGTTTCTGTCCTGTCCGCCATTGTTATAATGTTATTTCACTTGGTTTCTATTTGCTGTAAACCCCAGATACTTAAAATTCCTATACGTTTTCAACAAGTATTAATCACATTGATGAAAAACAACATACCAGAAGTTCAGATTGTTCAGTTATACTTTTGTTTTTAATGTGAAATCACCTCCAAATCATTTTCCTGATTCTGCCACTATTTGACTCTGGGTACCTACTAAAATACTATTTGCCTATTTCAACTTCCCCTATATAAAATACTCACTTAAAAGTGTGTTATTCTGTAAGTGCCAAACTCTCATCAGTAAAATGCTATATGCATCAATATAAAGTGCTACGAGAAAGTAGAAACCAGTGTAGTAGCAACCCATTGATGTGTAATAAGATAGTGACAGGCCTCCAACAGATGGGCCTTAAACCATAGCAGACAGATGGTGATAGGAAATCCTAGATTAAGAGTTACAATGTAAAGAACTTTGCACTCTCTAGCAATTCAAAGGGGTTCTCTCACTTCTCTCACTTCTCTCACTCTTCGCCACAACAAAGAGTATTGTGTATATTTACTAGTCTATGTAGGTTCCGTTTTTTTTGGTGGTTTGTTTTTTGTCAGCCAAGGAAAACTACTCACAGCAAGTCAGTGCTGCCTCCTTTGAGTGGCTTGTCAACATGAGTATGTGCGAACAGTGGAGTTGTCTAACCTCTGCAGTCTTGATGAAGGAACTGCAAATGGAGAAAAGGGCTTTAGAGGGACTTGGATGATTGAGTACAAAATTTCAGATGAGAAAGATTCATTTTCCCTGCATAAAGGGATCTGAACATATTAATAGACCTTCTTTCTCTCAGATAGAAGCCACTCATATTCCTTTTCTCAAGACAAGCTACTAAAGAAAATTTATTCCAGTGTGATTCACCTGAGCTTTCAAGTTGTGTATTCCTCCTTAGGTGAAATCTGTTAACAAGAACAGTTCCCCTGGGTGCTCCTGTTTTTGAAGCAGAGATTGCTCTTGGAGAATTCAGTATGATGGATTATCTTCCCCTCTAATACTGAAAAGCTTCTATACTCATTTTAATCATGTTAAATTGCTCATGAATTTTGCTAATGTGTTCCATAATAGTAACAACTTAGAAGAAATATAGATCAAAGATCATGGAATATAGATCAAAGATCATGGTTTATACTGGAACTTATTTTAAGGGCCATGATAACTATCACCTTGACAAGAAATAATAATTCTAGGTGATTGTCTCAATAAAGAGAGTGGGACTTTTTTGTTTAATGCTTACCAGACAGACATAACTTTGTGACTACAACTCAAATTTGTCTCTCCTCCAGAATGGCTGTTTTCCTTTGTGAAGTATATAACACAAGTCTAATGTCCACAGAAGGAAATACTAATTGGGAAATTACTGTCGGTTTTGTGTTTGTTTAATTCTCTTCTCATGGTTGTGCTTGTTTATTTAAGGCCTTCTGCCTTGGTCATAGGTGAGAATATCTGATGAGTCTGAGTTTTTAAGATGAAATAGAAAACTTGCAATATTCAAGCATGTAGGGTGACAGTGCAGTTAATTTCCATTTATTAAGGACCTTTAGTCCAAATCCATCCTCTAAACAAATTATTTACTTGGTGAATAGAAGAGTAAAGAAACACAAATCATGCAGATGTTTTTCTTCCTAGATGTGGACATTAGCCAAAATAGTCCTTTTTAGGATATTTTAAATTATTTTTAAAATATGAATAAAGTGCCATGAGTTCATGCATTAGCAGCTTACAAAAGAGTATGGTCTGATGAAAGCAAAGTAAACTTCAAGCAGAGCAAACCAACTTAAGAAAAGAATCAATTCCAGAAAGCTGTGCAAGATCAGAGAATGACAGCATTTGCTAAACAAGCTTTTTACTTTATAAGCAGAAATGCAAAACTACTGTACCATCCGTTGTCATTTTCCTTGACTGCCCCGATGTTGTGGTTAACCTAAATCCAGCCGGTAATGTTTCTGAGGACCCAGGCATCATGCTGATTCCGTGTACTTCACGGGGAGGAAACTGCCTTCTCCAGGTCGACCCACGCCTGAAATTCTTGTCATCACTCTGCCAGTACAGAGATACAATTTGATGTAATGAAAACAAGTAAACTAGTCCAGGTGCTTAAAACATGTAACTCTGATTATTTACATTCAGTCTGTAAAGTATACATATGGAATACTATATTTCAAGGGTTATATTGATTCCAAAATGAGAATGCAGGATATGTGAAATAGAAATGTTTTTATTAGAAAGTTCATATGATTTCGAATCTAAAACATATGAAAGTAAAATCTTTGAAAATTTAAAATAAAACCCCGAAGTTTTTCCAAAAAGAATTTTGGTTATACTTTGTTGCACTTCATGCCAACTGTTTTTATGTTATGAGATGATATACTTAGTTGAATAAGTATTGGGTAAACACTATTTGATTCACACACTTGATTATTTCATGAATTTTGCTTTTATGTATACAAGGTATATGTTATGGGAAATCTATATTTGATACAACCTGGCTCATATGGGATACGATAATTTATATTCTGTGTAAGAAACTAAATTTGTCATTTGCTAGATTTCAGCTGATACAGAATTAACTTGTAGTTTGTTGAAAAACCTATGCAAATGGTCACCTTCCTTTTAATAAATACACGTGCTCATTAGATGCCACTAAAAGCATAATATAACTCTGGCTGCTGTTTTACAATGTAATTCTTGTTGCTGATTCTATTATATCTTAATTGCATAAAATCTTCCCTCTCTGTGCATACACATTGTACCTGCAGACAAACAGTTATTTTCTCTGAATTGGTAAGCAACAATATGTAATTTACGATTTGACTGATTATCTTGTTTCTAATCTAAGGAAAATATTAATCATTCTACATAGATCTTATCTTCTTATATCACTAAGTTTTTCATCTAAGGAAGGACTGTCTACTCCCTAAAATTATAGTTAAATATGTGTGGTTGACTCTGCTAGCTCAGGTGACTTCATTTGGGCATAGAGAATATAGATAGATATTCAGCCTAAATTATTGTTATAAATAAGAAACACTATAAAGTATTCTTCATCATAGACTACTCATTTAAGTAGCATACAAGGTTAATCTGGGAAAAATAAAATCATTTATGTAATTACATTTATCCATTTTTCTTTTAGAATCCTTATTATTAATATATAAATTTTGTTTAGGTATGATAGCCATTTTACATTTTAAGAGATTTCTGCTACTCTTCTCAACTGCAGCATTTGACTGCCTTAGACCTCCAAATGTTTATAAATGGAAAAAAGAAGCAGAATTTCACAGTTGTGGGCTCTCTGACTTCTTGAATCTTGGAGAAGTTGTTGCATGAACATAAATTTCCTTCAGTTCTATAAAACATTACATTACACTGTAGGAATGTACAGCTCCTATAATGTGTGAGATAAGGGCTCAAAAATATGCCAGTAAGTTGAGAATTTAAATCATGATTCCTTAACTTCTGTTCTTTCAACATAGTGTTACTGCAGAAAGTTAATGGGAACTATAAGCAACAACATCATAGGAGAAGGTTTCCATGAGAGGAGATTGAAAGGTACGCTCTCAGCTGAGGATATCCTCTGTCTGTAGCAGCACATGAACACTTCTCAAATCATTTCAGTGGAATCTGAATGCGATCAGCCCCAGAAACAAGTCTATTCTGGTTCCAGCTAAGTTGTTTAGATATTTTTGTTCACATTCAAAAAACAAAACCAAAATCAAACAAAGAAACGAAAAACTGAGACAAAAGCGACTAGAGGGTTTGAATGATAAAATCATGTTCTTTTTTAGTAATAAAAAGAGGTAGCATATTTTAAAGGCAGATAATAACGTTCCATTTAGGACTTTCAACTTGTTCATTACTTTTAAGAAGCAACACTAGAACCCACATAGACTTGTGTCTCTGACTGGACCTCTACTTCAGGTCAGTCTGCATTTTACAATCGTTATGACAGATCTTTAATCATTTTTATTAAAATTATTTTTCCAACTTTTAAGTAAGGATAATAATTGTACTTAAAAGTGTGTATGGGGCTTCCTTGGTGGCGCAGTGATTGAGAGTCCGCCTGCCGATGCAGGGGACACGGGTTTGTGAGCCGGTCCGGGAAGATCCCACATGCCGCGGAGCGGCTGGGCCTGTGAGCCATGGCCGCTGAGCCTGCGCTCCGCAACAGGAGAGGCCACAGCAGTGAGAGGCCCGCGTACCACAAAAAAAAAAAAAAAAAAGTGTGTATGTGTTTATGCAGACTATCTTTTTGATTCAACAATTAAGAATAAGGATTAAAAGCAGATACAAACTACTATATATAAAATACATAAACAACAAGGCCCTACTGTACAACACAGGAACCTATATTCAATGTCCTGTAATAAACCATAACGAACATAAAAAGAAACGAAGTTGAGTTATTTGTAGTGCGGTGGATGGACCTAGAGTCTGTCATACAGAGTGAAGTAAGTCAGAAAGAGAAAAACAAATACTGTATGCTAAAACATATATGGAACCTAAAGAAAAAAAATGGTCATGAAGAACCTAGGAGCAAGGAGGGAATAAAGACACAGACCTACTAGACAATGGACTTGAGGATACGGGGAGGGGGAAGGGTAAGCCTGGACAAAGAGAGAGTGGCATGGACATATGTATACTACCAAATGTAAAACAGACAGATAGTGTGAAGCAGCCACACAGCACAGGGAGATCAGCTCGGTGCTTTGTGACCACTTAGAGGGGTGGGATAGGGAGGTGGGGGGGGAGGGAGATGAAAGAGAGAAGAGATATGGGGATATGTGTATATGTATAACTGATTCACTTTGTTATAAAGCAGAAACTAACACACCATTGTAAAGCAATTATACTCCAATAAAGATGTTAAAAAAAAAAAAAAAAAAAGGAAATGGGCTTCCCTGGTGGCGCAGTAGTTGAGAGTCCGCCTGCCGATGCAGGGGACACGGGTTCGTGCCCCGGTCCGGGTGGATCCCACATGCCGTGGAGCGGCTAGGCCCATGAGCCATGGCTGCTGAGCCTGTGCATCCGGAGCCTGTGCTCCGCAAAGGGAGAGAGGCCACAACAGTGAGAGGCCCATGTACCGCAAAAAAAAAAAAAAAAAAAAAAAAAAGACTCATCAAATGACTCATCAAATAGAGGATATCAATAGAGAGACAGAAATTATACATATATATGATATGTATTATATATATGATATATATAATATATATACAGAGAGAGAGAGAGAATCTAATGGAAATTCTGGAATTGAAAAGTGAAACAACTGAAATTAAAAATTCACTAGAGGGGGCTTCCCTGGTGGCGCAGTGGTTGAGAATCTGCCTGCCAATGCAGGGGACACGGGTTTGAGCCCTGGTCTGGGAAGATCCCACATGCTGCAAAGCAACTAGGCCTGTGAGCCACAACTACTGAGCCTGTGCGTCTGGAGCCCGTGCTCCACAACAAGAGAGGCCACGATAGTGAGAAGCCCGCGCACCGGATGAAGAGTGGCCCCCACTCGCCGCAACTAGAGAAAGCCCTCGCACAGAAACGAAGACTCAACACAGCCAAAAATAAATAAAAGCCATTTCTAAAAAAAAATTCACTAGAGCGGTTCAGTAGCATCTTTGAACTGGAAGAATAAAGAATCAGCAAACTTGAAGATACAGCAATTGAGATTATTCAGTCTAAAGAACAGAAAGAAAAAAAGAATGAAGAAAAATGAACAGAGCCTCAGATACCCATGGAACATCTTTGAACACACAATATACACTTAATGGGAATTCCAGAAGAGGAGCGAATTAGGCAGAAAAACATATTTGAAGAAATAATAGTCCAAAAATTCAAAAATTTGATGAAAAACATTAATCTACACATCCAAAGTCCAAGTAGACATCATAGTAAAACTGTTAAAAGGCAGCGAAAATCTTGAACACAAGAGAGAAATTGATGTATCATACAAGGGAACCACAATAAAATTAACAGCTAATTTTTTATCAGAAACAATGGAGGCCAGAAGGAATGAGATGGCATATTTAAAGTGCTGAAAGAAAAAAATCCTGTCAATTAAGAAGTCTTTGTCCAGTAAAAGTATCCTTCAACAATGAAGGTGAAATAAAGACACTCCCAGACAAAGAATGAGAATTTGTTGCTAGCAGGCCTGCCTTATAAAAAATACTAAAGGAAGTCCTTCAGGGTAAAAGGAAATGACACCTGACAGTAAACTGAATCCACATGAATAAATAAAGAGCAAAAGGCAATTATATAGGTAAATACAAAGACACTACAAACATATTTTTCTCTTTTATTCTCTTAACTGAGTTAAAAAACAATTATTGGGTTTATAACATAAAGAGGGAATAGAGTTATATTGGAGAAAGGAAAGGACACCAGACAGTAGCTTGAATCCACAGAAGAAAATGAAAAGAACCAGAAATGATAAATATGTGGTTTAATATAAAAAAATTCTATAAATACATTTTTTCTCCTTTCTTCTCTTAAATTTTTAAAAAGACATATAAAGCAATAATTATAACACTATTATTGGATTTATAACACATGGATGTAATATATATGACAATAATAGCACAAAGGGTAAGGAGGGAATTGAGCTATATTGGAGCAAAGTTTTGATAATTTATTAGAATTGAGTTAGTAGTAATCTGAAGTATATTGTGATAAATTACATATTATAATCTCTAGAACAAACTGAGACTAGTAACTCAAAAATATAATAAAGAAACTACAAAGGAATTAAAATGTACATTAGAAAAGTATTTATTTAACACAAAAGAAGACAGTAAAGGAAGAACAGAAGCACAAGAACAAAAGAAGACATGAAGCATATAGAAAAAAATAAAATTGCAGAGAGAAATCCAACCATATCAATAATTACTCTAAATATAAATAAACATTCAGACTAAATGTGAATGACTTAAACATTATCAAACCAGATTAAAAAAACAAGATTCAATTATACACTCCCTATGAGAGACATTTTAGATGCATAGACACAAATAGGTTGAAAGCAAAAGAATGAAAAAATATACACCATGCAAACAGTAACCACAAGTGAGATAAAATGTCTATACCAATATTAGATAAAATAGACTTTAAGACCAAGAAATATACTAAAGACAGAGATACTTTATAATGATAAAAGAGTCAATTCATCAAAATGATATAATTATGTGCACCTAACAACAGAGTCCCAAAATACATGAAACAACGCCTGACAGAACTGAAGGGAAAAATAGAGCATTCCACAATAGTAGCTAGAAAGACGACCTACTGAACAGGAGAAAACATTTGCAAATGATATGACTGATAAGGGGTTAATATCCAAAATATATAAATAGCTCATATAACTCGACAACAAAAAGAAACAACCCAATTAAAAAATGGGCAGAAGATGTGAATAGACATTTTTCCAAAGAGGACATTCAGATGGCCAGCAGACACATGAAAAGATGCTCAACATCATTAATCATCAGAGAAATGGAAATTAATACCATAATGTGATATCACTTCACACCTGTCAGAATGGCTGTCATCAAAAAGAACACAAATAAGAAATGCTGGAGGGGATGTGGCAAAAAGGGAACCCTTGTACACTGTTGGTGGGAACGTAAATTGCTGCAGCCATTGTGGAAATCAGTATGAAGGTTTCTCAAAAAACTAAAAGTAGAACTACCATGTGACCCAGCAATTCCACTCCTGGGTATATATCTGAAAAAAATGAAAACACTAATTCGAAAAGATACATGCACCCCAATGTTCATAGCAGCATTATTTACAATTGCCAAGATATGGAAGCAACCTAAGTGTTCATCAATAGATGAATGGATAAAAAAGATGTTGCATGTATATATACTATGGAATACTACTCAGCCATAAAAAAGAATGAGATTTTGCCATTTGCAGCAACATGGATGGACTCGGAGGGTATTATGCTAAGTGAAATAAGTCAGACAGAGAAAGACAAATACTACATGATATCACTTATATGTGAAATCTAAAAAATAAAGCAAACTAGTGAATATAACAAAAAAAGAAACAGATTCACAGATATAGCAAACAAACTAGTGGTTACCAGTGGGGAGAGAGAAGGGTGGAGGGGTAAAATAGGGTTGGGGCTTAAGAGGTACAAACTATAATGTATAAAATAAGCTACAAGGATATGTTGTACAACACAGGGAATATAGCCAATATTTTATAATAATTATAAATGGAGTATAACCCTTAAAATTGAGAATCACTATGTTGTACACCATAACATATAATATTGTACATCAACTATACTTCAATAACAAAATTTTAAAATTAAAAAAAAATTAAGTGGCTAAATAAAAACAAAAAGAAAAATTAAAAAAAATACAAACCATAATGGAAAAGAATGCGAAAAAGAATATATATGTATATATACACACATATATATACATATATATATATACATATATATATAGAGAGAGAGAGAGAACTGAATCACTTTGCTGTAGGCAAGAAACTACCACAACATTGTAAATTAACTATACTTCAATAAAAAATTTTAAAAAAAGAATAAGGATTGAAAAGATTATCAAAGTTATAAAATTAAAATCAGTTAAATAATAACTGTTTTTAAAAAATATTAATCATTATCCTGATTGGACAGGAGTATGAATTTACAGGAAGTTAGCTGAGGTCAAGACTGTAGAGCTTATCTGTCTAACTTCCTCTGAAAAGGACAGCTTGGGTTTTATAAAACCAAGATCACCTGCCCTGCCCATTTGAATGTGGAATTATTGTCTCATTTTAGGAATTGCTGTGTTCATTCACAAAACTATTTTAATCAGCTTTTCTTTACAGCTAAGAAACACCTGCATTTTGCAACACAGAATTATGCATCACTGTATTTTCCACTTCATACTCAGGTTTCCTCCCCATTTCTTCCAGAAAGATCCTTGAAAACCTCAGAAGGAATATTAAAATCCACAGTTTATCAATGCACAGAGTGTGCTAACGTCCCTTGTATTGCTTCATCTTGGGAGACTACTTACATGTTTACTATTTTCCAAATCATTTAAACATGCATTTACTATGTGTAGAGATTCTTACACTCAATATAACCTTCAATTCCTATGACTGTTAAAATGTTACTCATATATTTTTAAGGAAAACACAATATTGATATCTAAAATAATCAAAAGCTTCCCATTTATAGAAAGCAAGTTTTTTCTTCCTTTTAATACCCTAAAATTTCCTGTGAAGATATACTGATATTTAAGAAATAAGCACATCCCTTATTAAAGAGCTGAATTTATTAGGGCTAGTGTTGTCATTACTTACAATTTAAAAAAATATTTGCTCAACATTATTTTGCTCTCATAGCTCATGAAAAATGTCTGAATTTGAAATACTTCTTAGTGTTTCTAACTGCTGATATGATAATATATATGAATTTATAAAGTTCTTTCCAAATCAAATTAGTAAAATTAAATATTTAAGAATACTAGTGGGGAAAATTCTAGATTCTATCCATAGAACAAGCATCTGATTAATTTTGAGCACTAGTCCTTGAAAGCCATTTTACTTGTACTGTCCCAGGTCCCTTTTGAATGACAATGACAGACAAAGACTTACTTCATCCAGTCGCCGTTCAGTTCCCAGAGCCAGGAGGTTATTGTATTCCCTTTCGAGAATCTGCCTTGCCTGTCGAGATCAGATTAGAGTTAACATCATTGAAGTCACCTTTTATTTGAAAAATCATAGCGATTATATTTACCTGAGAAAACATTCCAATACCCTGTTTTATTTACAGGGGTCTCATTTTTTTCATCCTCTGTATCTATAAGCCATTGTAAATTTACACTATAAACACAAGGAAGGGCAATTTTCCTTAGTCTGTGGACAGTAGAGACAGCCTCACATAAACGTCTGAGGTCAAAGGGTTTGACCTCACTTTGTTACTTTATTCCAATTGAATATTTTATGTAAACTTTGAAATATACAAAAATGAAATAAAACGTAAAGTTAGACTGCCACATTTTTATCAAGTCTATGCAGGTAGTTCTGAAACCTGGCCAATCATCATCATTTGGGGAAACTTTAAATGATTAGGGTTCCTGTGCCCTATCTCTTGATATCTGACTTCTTAGGCTTGTGATGTAGATTGCACGTTTTATTTTAAGTTTTTAAGGAACTCCAGCAATTCAAATAATTATCCAGACTTGGGAAACAATGGCACACCCAGAGCTGAGTGTCTGTATAATTCAGACATGTAAATAGAAATGACTGCCCCTCAGAGAGGCAGAGACTAAAGGCCATCTGTCAGGGATATTGATTGGGGGAATCTGGCATTCAGGTGGGAGGTTGGACCACGTAACTTCTAAATCCCTTTCAACTTAATTTTATGATTTTGTTTTGGCTAGAAATCCAGTAGCTTGAAATTAAAGTCCCAGTGACATATATCAAACGTTGAACTAACTCCCATTAGGAATCATGAATACACAGCCGACTTTTTTTTCCTAAAACTTTACTTTGTCCTTACATAAACCAGGACACAGTGCAACTACAGCACAAAGGGGCTTGCCTGGGTGTTCTGTGTTGGAATCTGTAGTAATAAAGCTAAGCTGCTGTAGTCAAAGTTCTCATCCAGGGCTATAAGTGAGCCATGCACACCACTTTCAAGAATATTATTTGCATATTCTCGAAGTCCAATTGCTTGTATCCAGCGAATAACTCGATCATTGCTCCACACCAACACATCTAGAAAAAGAGGTGCATCATTTTAGGCTGCAGTATTTTGCATATTAAATAAAAACTGCTGGCTGAAATGAGCCACAGGCGTCTGGCCAAGTTAGCATTTATGCTAGCTTCTTTATCCACTCCCTAGTGCAGCTGGCTCCTTGTGTTACATGTATTTACCTTTCTAATAACTAACCCTTTCTACTTTTAGCCCAGAAAAAAAATTGTGATTTTAAGAGTGTTTGTTATCACTGAAATGAGAGCATTTCCATCACATGGAACATAATGTCTCAAAGTGCTTCTTGTTTTCATTCTGGAGCTCTAGGGGTCTGTCTGAAGTTCAATGCTTTTACCACCAGATGGGGACGTTTCTTATTTGTGTCCATAAACAGATCTTCAGTCAAGAGAGCAAGATGACAATCTAAAATGGTTCTTCATCAGAGTATTTTTAAACTACTACCTAACTATTGTGTATAGGCTAGAAGAAACTTTTTTTTTTCCATCTGAAGCAATAAGTCAGAGAACAGAATAGTAAGAGAACAGGCACTCAATAGTTTGATACTTACCCTACTATTTTGTCAATCCATTATTTCTCAGTCACGTACTAATCCAAAAATCAACCACTCTCAAGTCATAAGTTGTTTTTCCTTTTAGGTTGAAACGCAATATTTTACTAAGGTACAAAACACTTTGAATTTTATTTTCTAAAACTAAAACCTTTAGAGAAAAATGTCATATATACCTTTTTAGACCAAACCATATCAAAGTATATTTTATCCTTTTTCCATTCCTTCTCATTATGAGTTGACATAATACTACATAATAGCCAGCAAAACAGTCAGAAGGGCCAGAATGTTCCATTGAAAAGAAAGAATTTTGAGGAACTTAAGGGGAAATAAGAAAAGAATTAAACCTTTTTTTCTAATCCTTAAGGGGAAATGAGAAAATAATTAAAACTTTTTTTCTAAAAAAAGAATCAAAACTTTTTTTCATTTCTAGAAAGGTAAATGAAACCCATAATTTACTAGTACAGTAAAAGTAAGTTTTCCTATTAATTTTTTTTTCTTTCAGAATGAAATTTATACCTTATCCGGAAAAAGTATAAAGAATACTTTGGGAACTATTCTTCAACTTCAACTGTTCATTTCCCCAATTTAACTTATCTGCAAAAATCTTATTAGTATTTTCTTCTTTGTGTGTGTGTGTGTGGGGAGAGTATTTATATATTAAGTTTTTCAAAAGCATTACTAATTTGTCCTAATGCATTAATTTATAACCAATTCAGATTTTCTTGTGTATAACATCAAAGCAATAAAGTGATACTTCAGCACCACAGAGGTCCCCTCATGCCCTTTCTCAGTTATTATCCTCACTTCAACAATAACCAATATTCTGACTATGCTCACGCCAGATTAATTTTGCCTGATTTTTTAGTTTTTTATAAATGCTGTCGTACAATATGTATCTTCACTCAATATAGGGTTCACCCATGCTACGGCAAATAGCAGTAGCTTGTTTATTTAGTATTCCATTGTATGATTATGTCACAATTTATCCCTTCTACTGTTGATGGAAATTTGGGTGGATTCTACTGTGGTTATTAAGAATAGTGCTGCTTTGGGGCTTCCCTGGTGGCACAGTGGTTGGGGGTCCGCCTGCTAATGCAGGGGACGCGGGTTCGTGCCCCGGTCTGGGAGGATCCCACATGCCGCGAAGCAGCTGGGCCCGTGAGCCACAACTGCTGAGCCTGCGCATCCGGAGCCTGTGCTCCGCAACAGGAGAGGCCACAACAGTGAGAGGCCCGCGCACTGTGATGAAGAGTGGCCCCCGCTTGCCACAACTAGAGAAAGCCCTCGCACAGAAATGAAGACCCAACACAGCCAAAAATAAATAATAAATAAATAAGTAAATAAATGAATAAAAAGCCAAGCATCTGAAGCCCTTAAAAAAAATAAAAATAAAAAAAAAATTGGACAATAGTTCAACAAAAATGTAGAGTTTTCTTTACACTGAATGGATTTGTAAATAGGAAGTATTTGTTCTTTTCTGGAGCTGGATTTGTATTTTGATAGCCTATGACATATTTTGTAGTTACCATATTTCTGTAAATATACGTCTACCAAAAATTCCATTGCCATATCTGTAGTTATTCATGAAATAATAAGTATAAAATAATCCATTTATTTACAGGGTAAAGGTAAATAAGACACTAATACCAAATTCTCTTCTTCAGAACAACATAGTTTTTTCTTTTCATTTTGTAAATCAGATCCCTTTCTATAAATCTGTTTCCAAGCAAATTTTATGCTCTGACTTTAAAGCTTTATAAGGATCCTCTTGACCTAAACAATAAATGTCTAGAGATCCGTGTTGACTGTTTCCTAGCGACAAATTAAATGCTTATAGATTTTGATATTCACATGGTCTCTTCACTTCAGAAAGCTGTTCATTAAGGTCAAGGTTAATTAACACTTCAGATAATAACAGAGACCCCTAGTCACAGTCAAGAGTTATTCCTGTAAATGTCATCAGATCAGTTACAGGAAACGGGCTATTTATGATCTCACTCACAGCTACGTCACACATGGAGTTGCCTGTGTATAATCATAGTGAATCCTGGCAGTTTTTCTCAGAGCTACACTCCAACTAGCAATTGCCAAATACTAATATAATATTTGATGTAGTGCCAGATCATCTGTCTATATAAGAAGCATTTCATGTGATGAGACCAAGCATAATAAAATCTAATTGGAAAAAATACTTCAAAAAAGAAAACCAGAAACAGGTATCCCACGGGTAAAATCTATTTGTGTGCTAAAACATCTCTGTTAGGTCAAGCACAGACTTCCTTTTGGTGTCTTTATTTGGCCAATTAGTTCCCAAATTTCAATTCAACTGAACAGCAGTGCTCTAAAATCAACTTGCAATTTCCTGGGTCCCCAAAATAAAGTGAAATCAAATAACCCAATTTTGATAATGGAAGAACACTTTCTTGCTCCTAGGTAATGAGTCAAATGAAGTGTTACAAGAAATCCATTGTGTGTCTGTCTACTCTCCAATGAACCATATATAGAAAAATACTTTTAATCAATCACCTTCACAGGCATTCAAACCCATTCCACGCTAACTAATGTACTGTCCAAGAACTGCCAAAGATAAAAGTGATTTCTGACAATATTTATCACAAATGAAAATTACAGAAGTCTAAGGTGATCTGAAAGAATAAAACAGTGCTAAACTTAAATATGGGAAGGAAGGGTAACATGTAATATATACTATTTTCTTGTCTAAGGTAAGCCCTAAAGGCAGTGAAGATGACAATAAACAGACTCGTGCCTAACTTTGAACAATTAATGTACAAACACTTATTGAATTTGATGAAATGCTTCCATGTATCAACTCCTGGGTAATGGTAAACAGAAATATAAGGAGTTTATTTTGCTTCTACTCAAAATTTTCTTCAAAAAATTTGAGCCTTTTTTCCATTAAAAAGTATAAATAGACATAAAAGGGCTTATGATTTTTGCCCATAAAAGTCCCGTAGATATTTATATCTTATACCTAATCATTAAATTTTCCTTCAACAACAACAATAATAAAAATAAAGTGGTCTCTAACAAGTATAAAGTCTAACATGTTGTTCTTTTTAAACAATTATTTCCCCTGTATTAAGGTACTGCTCAACATTTAAAAAGTTAATTACTAAATACAGTACTTTTCTAAAGTCTGTTATAGGAAGTGTCTTATTGGTTTGTACAAACAATAGTTGCAGCAGTTAGTAATGTTTCTAAAATCATTCCTAGCTAAAATTATTAATGGACTAGTCTCATTTATAGGGGAAAATTCCCTCTGTAACTTCTATATAAAAATCCCTGTATAATTTCAACAACTATATTACAAAAATAAAATATTTGGTCACTGAAATAGAATTCAAATGATGCAAACCGGGGATAAACTGCTATAAATAAATTATATACCATGTTTCTCTGAATCATAATGAGAATGTTCTATTAAAAGTCTGACAAAGCTATCTATGTGGAGGCATGTTTACGATAAACAGAATATATAAGTAATAGGTTCAGAGGAATAAATCTCAATTCAGAAAATCAAGAATATTCCCCAAATGGGATATCTATCTTAAAAAGTGATGATATCCTTTTCTGAGTTTTAATCAGAAAAGTAATGAAAAAGAAATAATGATGACACTCTTCTAGCTGAATACTTACGTTACTTAATGACAATTGTAATGCATACAGCATTTTAGGTTCATAAAAGTGAAAGCTAAAAATCCCAGAAAAAAAAGGCATTTGATATGAAAGAAAGACATATTACCTTTTATTTCATGTTGGCTTGCTTCTCGTCTTCTTTCTAGTTCTTTTCGGTCATAATTCAACCTTTTTAAGCACATAATTCCATATTGTAAACTTGTTCTGTTATTTTTTTTTAAAGGAGAAAACACATTTAGTTTACTCAGTAGATGATTAAGCATAGTCAACACTATGCACTACTTCTTCAGGCAACAGGTTAATAAATTCCATTTGTAATTAAATCCTCTAGAATTGGAGGGAATTAAAATTATAGTTATTCTAAGCACACAGTGTTTCTAAAGAGTAAAAACAAAAGTATTTTCAAAATAAAATAACCATAGTCTTAAAATTAATCTTGGATTATGTTGTTTATCCACATGTCTTTGTTTTCCATTAGGCTATTTCAACATTGTTTGAAGACAAATGAACATTTTACTCCTCTGAAAAGAGTCAATATTATGGAGACAAGAAGGAAATTATAAGAAAGGGATGATACTCTTCTTTTTAGCTGATGAGAAAAATAATGTAAAAACATGAATGAGGGCTTCCCTGGTGGCACAGTGGTTAAGAATGACACAGGTTTGAGTCCTGGTCCGGGAAGATCGCACATGCCACGGAACAACTAAGCCCATGCACCACAAGTACTGAGCCTGTGCTCTAGAGCCTATGAGCCACAACTACTGAGCCCACGTGCCACAACTACTGAAGCCCGCACACCTACAGCCCATGCTCTGCAACGAGAGAAGCCACCACAATAAGAAGCCCGCACACCACAACAAAGAGTAGCCCCCGCTCATCACAACTAGAGAAAGCCTGAGCACAGCAACGAAGACACAACGCAGCCAAAAATAATAAATAAATTTATAAATAAATAATAAAAAGATGAATGAGTTAAGTGATAACATACAGAACCAAATACCAAAATGAATAGCCACCAACTCTAAGTGATACAGAAATATGTGAAAGGAACAAGTCAGCAGATACTGAAACTCTATGTGGAAAGGATATTGTGGAAGAGCAGAAAACTGACTGATCCTTAAAGGATCAGGCAAAGGGAGGGTTAGTAAAGGATATGGAACACCATGAACATAGGATGGCTGATGAAATGTTAAATGTGTGGTGATAGATCCTCTGTCCACAGTGAAGATCTATGCCAGGAAGTTAGGAGGAATAAGATTTTATACGGAGAGTGGGGTTACATTAAGGAAAGTTTGCGTTCAGAGTAAGTGTAGAACACATCAAGGTGATAAAAATTATTGGACAATTTTCACAGGAGGATAAAAATGACAATAAAAGGTTTTGGTTTAAGAGAGAATAATCTGGAAGTAACACAAGAGTTGGGGAAAATAGGTAATTCTAGGGGACAGGGAAATTAGTTGAAGAAGAAATGCTGTCAAAATAAAGGTCCCACTAAGGACAAAGAAAAGCATGAAAAGAAAATCTAGAAACCAGAGATGTTCAGAGAGAAGAAAGAAGACTTACTGATATTATATATAAAGGATGTGGAAGAGTATAATAGGTAAAAAGAATCTCTAGGCCTCAAGAACAAAGAGCACTGAATATTAGTGATTTCTTAAATGTTTAGAATTATAGACAAATTTAGACATACACATTGGCCAGGCTACTCTTAAGTGCTGGATTCATTTCTAAGCCCTGCATTTTAATAAGAACAATGCTGAGTTCAAATATTTAAGAATCAGAGGAACATGGAAAGAAATCTGCATTAATTGCTGTTATGGGATAAACTGTGTTTCCCCAAATTCTTACAACGAAGCCCTAACGCCCAATACTTCAGAATGTGACTGTGATGGGAGACTGAGTCTTAAAAGAGGTAATTAAGTTAAAATCAGCATCAGGGTATGCCTTAATTCAGTATGACTGGTGTCCTTATAAGAGGAAATTTGGACACACAGAGAAACCTGGGAAGTACACACACACAGGAAAGACGATGTGAGGACACAGTGAGAAGGCAGCTATCTGCAAGCCAAGGAGAAGAAACCAATAATGCTGACACCTTGATCTTTGTTTTCTAGATTCCAGAACTTTGAGAAAAAAAATTTCTGTTGTTTAAGCCACCTATCTATGTTATTTTGTCATGCTAGCCCAAGCAAACTAATTCAGTGGAATACCAGATAATACTGATGTAAAAACCATCATAGACATTAGCCAGCTTGAGGTTAAACCACTGGGGCTTGCCTAACTTCTGCCTAGTTTTTGTATGTAACGTAAAATTGTTCTATAAAAAGGATATATGTTGTTACAACAATGTCTTGTCAGATGGAAAACTGGGCTGTAAAGACAATGGGATGCCATATGCAGTAAAGTATTACTTGCTTTAAGTCAGAGCTAAGCATAGCATAAAGATGAAGCTTGTGTATTTCCCAGAACAAACAAGAACCCTGTCATTTGAGTAATGTTTATTTTTTAAAAAAGAAAACTTGATCTCTGGATGAATCATTTCTACTTTAATAATAAAGCAATTAAAAGTTGATCCAGTGAAGAATAGAAAACAGGCACAAGTGTGTCATCAAAAATTCTAATATTTAAAAGTCTATTGCAACCACACAAAATTTGAGGCCCTAAATGTTCAGTGACAGGGAACTCACTACCTCACAATGTGTGTACTATAGAGCAATTGAGAGTGATACAAAGTTGTATTTTCTGTTGAACATAAATCACTCACCCTATTATCTATACCTATTTGTACTAGAAAAGCACATGTTCAAGACAGCAAATATTACTCTATCACATAATATTAAAACATAAGAAAACTTATCTAAAGTCTTCCCTTATCCAAGCTAAATTTCTTTAATTCCTTCCTTTCCCCCAGATTTTTACCACGTTATCAAAAACAATTTAATGTCCATAAATTAATACAGTTTCTTATTGTTATCTCACCACATGATAGGACTTTTATTGTGCCTGCCAATAAACACAGTCTAAATATGCCCTGTCAAGCCATTAACCAGAACTGAGATTTTTGTGTCAACTATAAATCACATATCTTTTTCACTTGAACTGCTTTTAAATCATGAATTCCCCATCCAGCATTTTAATGGTTTTTAAAAACGATGTTATATTTATCTCTACTAAATTTAATCCAACAGTGTAAACAACTGTGTTAAGATTCAAAACATTTTGATAAATTTGACTGAAGAATCTCAATTATTATCTCTTTATCCTAACTTTAGTCATTAACATATATGATTTGTATACCATTTTAATTTCCGTCACTAATTAAATGTTGGACAGGATGTGAACACAGTTTCCCAAAGTCTAGATTTATATTTATTAATTTATTATAATAACTAACTGTATATAAAATAATCATAATACAACTGACAATTCTGCAGATAACCTACAAAGAGATCAGGCTACAACATAACATTTATGACATGGTATTATAACAACCATTTTTTTACTCCCTAGATGATAAGCAACTTGAAAAACTAATTTTCATTTGCCTTTCATTTATCTGTGCTCTTACCAATGTCTCATAACCCATTCAGTATTTTTTTTCCTGAAAATTAATGTACAAATAAGCAAAAGCACTGAAAGGTTTACACAAAAACAAAAATTTTCTTCAGAAGAGAATTCCTTCTCAAATTTTTTTCTAGTATATCCCTAAGTTATATAATTTATAACTCCATATATAGTTGAGACTGATGATTTTATTCTTAATAAATAATTTTCTAATATTAAAACATATATAGATACAAATCACAAACATGAAATTTCCTACAGATACAGGGGAAAAAAGATCTATGCTGTATGAGAATTTTGCACTCTCCAGTTCCATAAACTTTGGGCATGTAATATGCACCCAGCTCTACATTAGATAGTCCCCGCAATTTGTTGCATAAAGATACTTTGCCAAGTAGATGTACACAGATGTTTCAAAGAGCACATATTCTATATTTCTTAAATATCTTTATGTTCTAGTAATATACACAGTTATTTATTTTTCACTTTAATTACTTTTTGGAAAAAACGTACCGATGGAAACTATCCACCATTTTTAAATGGACACGGAGATCTTTTTTTGTTAGGTGATCTAACATTCTTGCATCTACCAAGCATTCCATAAAATAACTTCTGTATTGAGGTAACCCCAGGCTGGGAAGCCATTCGTTTCCAATCCACTCGTGGTTCATATCTCCATATGCCAGGGTCTGTAGAAAAACCGGACACTAGAATTGTTTTATAGCAGTCAAGTTTCTTAGCCAATAAAATGAGACAGTAATTGGAGGGTATGGGCTATCATTATAATTGATATTTAATTCCTATGATATATTGAAACAAAGTAGAAATAATATTTAGCCCCTAAATATTTAATTTATTTTGGTACAAAGTGGAACTCTGGGTACATGTATCAAGGTCCTTGCCTAAAGAGAATGATAAGGTTCACTTTGTTTGCTCAAAAGGAATTACATTTTATACAAATATGCATTTTAATTCAAAAGCTAAAATGAATGATATAATACAAATGCTGAGCTTAAAGATCCTTTCTTTGTATTGATAGATTTATTTAATTCAACTTATTTTATTTTTATCTGTTAGCCAATACGCCACCATTTCCTTCTCTTCAATGCTACTATTACCATTGCCATGGTGTAATGGCAAATCTTGATGTCAAAATAGAAACCTCAGTAAATGAATAGAGAAAGGAGCCACAAGGCTAGAGAGATAGAATGCTGAAGCTTTATGTGGCCATTGTTGTTACCTAGTGAGGCATGCAGCCAGTATTCTATAAAAATTGATGCAATCAGTCTTTCGTAGATATCAATCAATACAGACTCTGTACTTAAAGAAGCAGAGCATGATCAAACTCTAAGACAATCTAATTCTTTAATATAACAATATGAACTGATCTTACCACTGTTCTTAAAAGCCAAAATGAAAACCAAAATCAACCATCATCTCTAAAGCAATTTTAAAAAAAACTATTAATCTCTATTAATTTGACAATGTCTTCTATTTAGTTCCTTATCAAACAACAAATTCACAATTATAACATGTATTTCTAATGAAAATCTAGGTGTTCCCTTTATTTTGTGTGTTCTTAAAAAATGAAATTCTCACTAAAATAAAAACCTAATGCAACCCTAATTTAGTCAATGTTTAAATGTAGGTCCTAGTAATAACTACAAAAATTTTTCTTACAAAGTTTGAATCACATTACCTATAACACACATTAATTCTTTTAGTAATAAACATGCAGAAATGTTGAAAAAGGAACAGCTTCCTTGCAAGCATATATGTTTGTTCAAAGTACAGATGCTTAGCTCATATGCCATCTCAATAAATGGGAGTGACTTCTGACGTGTAGTCGCAAGGCTAACACGTGTCCCTCCAACTCCATTTCTCACACACTTTCCATTATACTTTAAAGAATAGGTGATTCCAAATAAGTTTTTTGAAATCTCCCCTCCCCGCTTACAACCAACATAAATGATTCCTGATTAAATATATTCAGGGGTGATTTCCAAGAAATTTAAGTTATAGTTCATTCTTTTAAAGGAGAAATGAAATTTTCCTTTCAAAAGAGGCCAGGTATAAAATGATGATCATCTTCTTTGCAAAATATGGTTATTTTAAAAGACCTTATAGTATTCAACATAATAAAGTCAAATACATGATTAGCCTAATCTTAAGCTAAGTGAAGACTTATAATATTATGACATACAATTTTCTTACTTTATATCCTCATAGCCTACTAAACGATATTGTTTTAAAGCACATGAATTTCCTACCTGGGCCCAGCTTCCTTCCTCAGATTCTTTCTGTGTTAGCAGCAGGAAATGATTAATAAAGCAGATAAAGATAAATTAATCTCAAATTAATACAGTAAATTTTTTCTAGTAGAAGAAAAATTGCTTTGTTATTAAAAATGTTAATTAAGACACAGACAAATAAGTACACAGATCCTTATTCAGATCCACAGTAATCAATAGAGCAGTTCAAGGGCAACTACAAAGGCACCTACACAGTTTCTAATTTATTCTAATTAAATGCACGCACATACAACATATGGAATTTTCATGATACATTTGATCTGGTCATTCCAAACCTTTTTTAATTCTTAAAAGTGTGGGATTTTACAAATGTAATAAGTTATGACAAAAATTTCTGATTATATACATACGAATATACAATACACAAATGTGTGTACATACATATGATGGATAAATCTTATATAAAGTAAATTAATGGAGTGGACAAAGTAACTGCATCCTTCTAACAAAACTTTGTGGTAATCAAATGGGTTTCAGCAAGAATCAACAACAAACAAAGCTAAACAAGAAAAGACCAAGCACAACAAACTAAAAATGTAATTAGCACACAACATTGGCATTTTTATTCAACAGAAACTAGATAATCAATTTTTCAAACAGGAATAAAATTAAAAGGACATTAAATTAAAAATAAGTTGCTCATAATAAAATGCATGGCATGCCCAACTTTGTTACTTTAAATGAGAAATGATTATATGTAATATATTTTTAAAAGCTGACAATTACAATGAGTCACGATGAATTTTTTAAGTCTGTGCTTTTAATACTAAATGAACACTTTGCATGCAGGTGGGAGGAGGAAGCTCTGTATTTGAGATGGTAAAGTACAAGAAACTAAATAATTATATTTAAAATGAGTATTCAATCTACACATTCTATTACAAATTTAATTGGGTTTGGTAACATGCATTACCTGTGAATATGTTCAATTTTAAGTGATATTTGTTATCAAAACTTTCCAATGTTGCAAAATGTATAAATAAGTGTCATTAAATTCTTGATTATTGTTTGCATGTTACAAACTCTTATATTAACCACATTATGCCAATCTAGTATGGCTTCATTTAAAAATGTCTAGGGTCAGTGAAATAAAACCACAATGAAAAATGTTAGTTATCATTGCATATTACTATGTAAACATACCCCATTACTCTGATCTACACAAACAAAATAGCTTTTCCATCCAAATAGCAGCAAAATAACTTTCTTCATGTTCAACAAAGCTGTAAAGACTAACCGTTTTTGCTGGAGCTGCAAGATTTTCCATTTCTTCATGGGTCACCCAAACGTTGCCTGAAGGCTAGTGAGGAGGCCCAGAGGGAAGCAGTGGGATCCATGGGAGGGAAGCAGTGGTAAAGAAGAAACGCAGCACCACTGTAAGTTAATGGTACCACAGTGACACGACCATGCTCTTGCTTCTATAGCATGCACAAGAGACAGCAGTGCTAGTTTCTCATAGCTGTCTTTTTCTTCTACTTCAAAAGATTAAATAGAAAGAGGCATGCTGTGAAGCTCACACGTGATAGACTTAAAATGATACTTCTGTAATTATTAATCAGGAAAAAGGCTTAATCAAAATTTGCATTTCAGTGGTATGCGGCTATTGGATCCACTTTTTGTAATCATGGAGAACTGAATAAATTTGATCTGTAGAAGAATATTTTTATTTTTTTCTTCAGTAAACAAAGGCACATGTATTTTGTTGTGTTATTACCTATATTTTGTTCACAAAGTTTTAATTCTTCAAAGTCCTGGGAAAGAGAAAACTGGTTGTAAATACAAAGCTGAAAGCGCTATCATAAACTGTTTGGAAACCAGTATCAGCTTTTCCCAAATGACCGCTTCCTTTTACAGTTCAGTAAATATGTTGTTTTCCTATATTCTTATAGGGAAAAAAGAAGAGAAATGCTATTTTGGAGTTAATAATAGGTATTTTTCCACTAAATATTGTCAGAAGTCACAAAACCTAGGTTTCCTAATTTTTTAGCAGTATCCTTCACTATTTTAGATGTAAAAGGAAATTTTCCCTCTAGCAGGCACTACTCTATTATGAAGTCTCATTTGCCTTCTAAATAAAACAACCCATGATGCTTGTTTTATACACTGAAGTATTAATACATACAATTTCTAGACCAAAGTCCACTTAGTAACATACGGATCACTGGGAACCACCTCCCATTAAATTCCACCATTTTACTGGGAAATATTTATGAACATTTCAATGTTGTCCAAGCACATCAATTCTATAGTTACAGTGGAATTTAATCTTATGTATTGCTTGTTACTTGTTTTGGAAGGGGTCTAGTTTCAAAGAATTGGAAGTAGCAAAGTTGATACCCCGACATAAGTCATCACCATAATTCTCTTTTGCCTTTTCTACCAACACATAGTACCATGTTGACTTATTTTCTATTATAAATAATGTAATTTAATATAATTTTTAAAATAACTACATATAAACTAAATTGATGAATATAATTTGACATAAGATAAATCTCATGTATAAGAGAGTTACTCATATATATAGTTGTGTAACAGAACAGAGTTGAGTAGTAAATATTTATAATTATAATAAATCATATGGGCATAAAATCTCAAAGGATAAGCATCATATATATGTAAAGAATTCTCATTCTCCTACCATTTTGGAATTTTGAGCATATATGAATTTTTTCCTAAAAGATAAAACCGTGCACATCTGTAAAATATACTGAGAATACAGCAGCCATCCATGTCATTAAATGCCCCTCCCTTCTATCCCTAGGTTCCAGGAATGGTGCTCATTATAAAGAGAAAGTTGTGTATGAATATATGAATCATTAAATCATTTGGCAGAAATTGCTTTTACTGAATTTTTGAGCCGTGTACTATGCTAAAAATAATTTTACAATCATCTGTCACATTCCCTTTACACCCAGTGACAACAGTGTTTTGCCTGAGTGGCTATACTGTTTAACGTGAGCTTCAGTGATGGTTACCTGAGAGGAAATTCATTTAAGCCAGATTGTTTTACAATGATTTCTAAGGATTCGACCTTGATTGTGAATCCAAACAATGAAGATCTCCCTTCTTCTATAAGAAACTTGACCAGTATTATTTCATACTAGAATACATACATGTATAATCTCTTTCACAGGTTAAAGTCTATATTTGCCAGTCTATCACCATATTCTGGGGTGAGTAGGACTCTGCAAGCTATGGCTTTATCTGTATCTTTACATGCAAAATGAGTATATACCCAGGGCAATTTTCTAAAATATGGTTGTGAAACTTTCTGAAGTTGTAAGTTAGCTGTTCACTTATGCTCTGCAGTTTTACTTCTGAGAAGCACTGCCTGCTCTAGAGTCTTGTAAAGTAATCCATAAAATGGCTTCTAAACAACCCAGTCAGTTAGGCATTAGTTGAGGTTTTAACAAGTTTATTTTATAAGCAAACCCATGTGTAGTAAGTCAATTATTCAGATTTATTTCTTTTTACTACCAGTTTAAAGGATAGAACTTTCAACAGGGTAAGTCATAAAAGGGTGCGTTAGAGCATGAGTGTTTCAGCAAAGAGCACATCTTAGAGAATAGCTAGAGTGGGACGCTTTGAGCAACCAAAGGACTCTGGTGCCTTGGGTCCAAGGATAAAGACAATGCAAAGATTAGCTTGGAAAAGCATAAAGGACAAGTATCATATAATTTGGTTGTGGTTTCCTGAGAGCCGCTGAAAATCATTTACATCAGTCCACGCTGCAACCCCCAGTATCTGAGCTGGAGAATGCAAACCAGTAGACTTTTTTTCTTCTTCTTTTTTTTTTTTTTTTGTGGCGAATACCGTTTGAGTCTAGCAAATGATTTCTAAAATTTTAACTATCTGGAAATTTACCAAATTATAATCAAGAGGCTTGAGTTCTAGCAGTGCCACTTCTCAGTAACTACCCAGGACATTTCCTAAACCTCTCTAAATTTTAGAATCTACATCCATTAAGTAGACTAAAACTGCATACTCATACTAGAAAAAATACAAATAATTTAAAATTATGATGTAATATATTCTGATACAGGGCTGGGACTAGGATGAGGTAGGTGAGGTGTCAAGGGGGCTACATTTAAAGAAGCATTCACTTTCAGGATCATGCAAGTGCAAGGTCGGTAGTGACAGTGAGTGCCTCATTCAATTTTATTTGAGGTGCCTTGCTGGCCTCACCTTAGTCCAGATGGAGTAGAGTATTCAGACAGTATTATCAAATGAAATCTAGTAGGAAAATTCCTAAAGGATGTTGAGAATTAAAGCACTTAACTAATTAAATCATTTAGGACAGAATTATGATATAAAATTTAATATTAAAATGAGTTTAAGGAAAAAATGAGTTTAAGGGATAACTCATGAAAATTAATTGGAGGAAAATAATTCTCTTGCTGTCAGAAATACAAAATAAGTAAAGCAGCCAGACCTCAGAATAATCCTAAACTTTATCTAGCTAGAAGTAACTTCTGTTACTACATAAGTCATTTTGAAGAATTTTTTGTTTTATAAGTGAATTACAAAGTAAATTAATTTGAAATTTACTTTTCACTTTCAAAATGGCCTAGATCCACATTTTTCCCTTATCTGAATTGATAATTCTCACCATAAGAAGAGAAATATTTCTCATTATAATAAGACTAGTTTTACACAATTATATTTCACCTTATTTACATTAAAGGTTGAGGCTTAGGAGGTTAGTAATAATGAAAAGTGGAACCAAAGTAGACTGGAAGAATGTTGCAAAGAAGAAGGAAAACTGGTAGAGTTCAAGAAGCAGGAGAGTACACTTGTTAGGAGCATAGACTATGGGGCAAAACAACCTGGGGTGTGACCTTAGACAAGTCATTTAACCTCTCTGTTCATCAGTTTTTCCCATTTGTAAAATAGATGTCAAAAAAGTGCCTATCTCATAGCATTGTCCTGAGGCTCAAATGAGTTATTGCATATAGAACACTTAGAACAGGGACTGACACTTAGTAAGTACTCCACTGATGTTGGCTGTTACTACAATTTCACTAGAATTTTCATTAAACAATCTCTACCCAAGTAAATCTTTAGTTTAATAAATGCTATTTTCCCCGTACATTGTGCTGAAGCCTATCTTATGCCTTACATGTCTGCTCAAATTTGCTGAATTCTATGTTTACTAAAGATCATTTATATTTGGTCCCAAACCTGTCTACTTCCACTGCACTTTTTAAAAAATTACTCAATTTAAATAAATATTACATAGAGCCAAAATTAAATAAACTTGGCTCATGTATGAACACTAAGTTGAATTATTTGGAAAGACCAGATAAAGGTAAATCTTAAAACACATTGTCAGTGAGATACAGCTTCAGCAAAGTCTGGGGAAGAATTTGTAAATTTCCAGGAGGATTCTGTACTCACATAGCTTTTCAAGTATCTTCAAGTTATCACTTTAAAAAGAAACTCAAATTTTAAAAATTGAAGATGTTTAATGGATGAAGTTATCAAATAAACATAATGTGAAACTCAAGGCATTGGAATTATACTCAAAGAAAAGTCCTAGGGTTTCATCTAAATTTGCAAATGCCTGAACATTTACATATTTTTACTTAAGATAAAATATTTAAAGTATTTATCTATTTTTATGACACACCTCTTTAACCAAATATTTCAATTACCTGATAGATATCTCCATCTCTATTCTATTTTGTAAGAGGCCTTCTACAGTAACTGTAGCTTAGGAAGAGGAAACAGAAAGCTGGAAGATTAGGGCTGGCCCAAAGAAATAATAAATGTAAATAATATAATAATAATAAATGTAAACATTAGAATTTTCTAATGTTAGCCCATTTCGTCTAGACAGAAAAGGAGGGAGAGTTCTGTTCAGTTTAAAAAGAAAAAATCTAAGTATCTTGTTTTTTCCTCTTAGAACTTGAGTGAATGAACAAGATACATCTTTCTTAGAAACCAAACCCAAACCTAAACACACGGAAAATCTTGTAGGATCAGAACTATGTGCCGTGTTCTAGAAGACATGATAACATTTCTTAAAAAAAACAAAAAATAAAAAAACCAAACCAATTCCTTTTGAATTTTCAAAGTGTGAATCCTAGTATATAATTTTAGGTGATGACTTTAAAATGTTTTCAGCTTCACCTTATGCAGTGGATTAATTCCTAGAAATTCACATGTAGTTTTTTTGCAAAGGAAATCATATTTGAACTATATTAGAAACAAGTAAATACTTCCATGTAGATGAAATAAAAGAAATAAAAAGCACTCAGTAGATTATTTTTAAAGCAAATGGAGACAACTTATCTCCTATGAAACTTGCATCAATATTTAGCAAAGGGCATATGTCTTCTGTGAATAAAGAGCTTTTACACATTAGTAAAAAAATGAATATTCCTATAATCCTATAGAAAAATGAAAAAGGTTATGAATAGGTAATTTATTTAAATGCTAAAATAAATAAGCATATGAAAAAATTTAACTTTACTAGTAATTTTTAAAATGTAAATTTAAGCAATGTAATCATTAACATTGACAAAGGAAAAAAAGGACTATACAATACAATTTGACAATTAAGGTTCAAAAGTAATAAGAATATAAATGCCTTGTATACAAATATTGCTATGGAAATTACTACAGTTCAGTTAATGCAATAATATAACTACTTGCTTATCCACTATGGTATTAGAAATACAAAGAAAATTGTTAAGTAAGCAAAATGTCCAATATTAGGGACTTGGTTAAATAAATTACAGCATTTCCATTAAGGAGCTATGCTGCAATTAAAAATATTACAATTGCATACTTAATAAAGTGGGGGAAATATTCATGCTATATTACTAAGTTTTAAAAGTACAAAATAAAATATTATGTGAAAATAGTTCAATTTTATAAAATGAGAAAGAAAATAGAATGAAAAGGTCTCTATCAAAAAGTTAATAGTGAAAGTATTAATAATTTTAATAATTAATTAACAATATATTACCTGTCTTTCAAATGTTAATTCCTCTTTGAAGCCTTATTCAACCAGAAGTGATTTCTCCTTCCTTTGAATTCCACGGCACTCTGCTTCTATCTCACATTAAGGAATTAAACTATGTCATCTTCTACTAAACCTGCTGGTGAACATATCTTCCTTTTCTTACTTTGATTGCCCTCTCTGTAATCAGGGCATACATATATCATATCCTCTATAATAGTGAGTAGAGTGACTTGTACAATCATCATTTTAAGATGCATATTTACTGACTATTTACAATTTGCCAGGCACTGAGTTAAGGCCTGGGGACTATGGAAAACCTGATAATATACTTGCTTGGCCTAGTGTGGGATGAATCAAGAAGAGAAAATTATAAAATAGCTTTTATAAGTATACGGAGTAGTAACTCAGGAAGGGAAGAAAACCCAGACTTTGGGGCTTAGTGAAAACTCTTTAGAGGAAGAACATTCAGGAATCATTAGATGAAGGATGAGTCGGAGAAGAATGGTGATCTTGGTCAAATGGTGATTGGTCAAATGGTGATTTGACCTTGTATTTCTAGCATTGGAATCTAGTGCACTGGGAAGGAATACAAGAATATATGTAATAAAAATGGGGGGCTTCCCTGGTGGCTCAGTGGTTGAGAGTCCGCCTGCCGATGCAGGGGACACGGGTTCGTGCCCCGGTCCGGGAAGATCCCACATGGCGCGGAGCGGCTGGCCCCGTGAGCCATGGCCGCTGAGCCTGGGCGTCCGGAGCCTGTGCTCCGCAACGGGAGAGGCCACAACAATGAGAGGCCCGCGTACCGCAAAAAAAAAAAAAAAAAAAAAAAATGAAGCAAATTTCTCTAATTTATGGTCTGTGTTTAAGGCCATGTGTAAAAATTTATACTCAAGTTAGCTTTGTGCCTGAAAACTGAAATAAAGTAATATCACTTTTCTACCTTTTGTCCAATATTCAAACCTACCTCATTCTTCCATATTTTACTATTTTGCATAAGACAAGGGACCAGAAAAATCCATTTAACAACAGAAATCATATCCTTTATCAGCAAAAGATATAATTTGGTAAAGGACTAAAGAAAGAATGAATATTATTTGGGAGTTTTTCCTCTGTGTTTGAATTTGTCATCTGGCATGCCTTTTTTAGATATTTTGTTCTTTCCTAATATTAAGATAGGGATGAAATTATGAGAGAAATAGGGATTTATAAATAAAAGGCAAACAGGTTTTGAAGGAAGATAATCCACTTGGTATTTATAAAACATTAAATACTAAGGTACTTTCATAATTATGAAAACTGCTTAAGAAGTAGAGAGTCTAGCATTACATCTTCAAAAAGTACTAATGCCCTATTGCTCATCTCCTGAGATGCTGGATTACATTAAAAATAAAAATTCTGAAAAAGAGTAAACTCTTGGTCTTGTTGCTTGGGAGAAAAATCTAAACTTTAGTCTAGAGGCTAGCTCAAAAGTCTATCTTGGTTGCAGGCTTCAAGTCTGATAGGAATCACAGCTCCTCAGTTGAAAACCTATTAAAAGTAGCAGCAAGGTTAATGGAGAGCAAGCTAAATCTCCTCGGAATAATTCATGCTGACATTGAAATGTGTGCTGCCACAATTTTGCTCTGTGGACTTGGAGATGCTGCTATTCACCCAGCACTGGGAGAGGGAAGGAGCACAAATGGACTCACAGTTCTGGATGTTGGAGGAGCTGAAGGACTGGTTAGGGAAACCATCTCCTGGATTGCTAATCGGAGCTTTAAGCGATGCAGAGGATTGCTGATTCCAATTTCTCTCTGGATCTCAGTGTCTGATAAAGCAGACATAATGGCACCGCTCTTCACATTGGCTCGGCAGGCTGCCACATACCAAGCAGGCATTCCCAACCAGAGCTGTTGGATAGGGAAAAATACATACCCAGGTTATAATAATAGTTAACCATTAACAATGTCTATGCGCTAGACATTATTTTAAGTATCTTACTTGTATGAACTCATTTATTACCACACCCCAAGAAAGAGATGCTATTATTTTTTCCCGAGAAGAGACAGATGCACAAAGACATTAAATAATTTATTCAAAAAAACCAGTTAGGCAGTAATGGAAACAAAGATTGGAAATGTAGACTTCAGGGTCTGCAATTTAACAACTAATTTATATTATTAGGGATACATATAATGGCTGCACCTCACCAAATCTCCTCTTGAGTTTAAGGACAAGAACAGCTACAAGCTGCGTTTGGTAAAGGCTCAATTAACATTTGTTTAATAAACGACTTCAGTTTATAACTCTCCTTTGGAATTCTGAGTGCCTTTGATCAAAGGCTTTAATGTGGCTAATCCACATTTCCAATCTATCTACCTATAGGTGTATGAACTCAATTAGATGCTAAATATGAAAATACTTTCTGGAGAATGAAATGCTGGGCTAATGGAAGAGGCTAACATTATAAACATCTGGAAAACATTAGCTAAAGAGAGTTACAAAATGAATATTGCTTTGGAAATTAGGGATTGTGATTCTTCAGCTTTGCTGTGAGGCTCTGGAAAGACAATTGAATCGGTAGTGCAATGAGCACAGCATAACGCCTGGCATATTATCTGCAGCACAGGGTGAACGCACTGTGTTGTAGCATCTGAATTACATACACTTAAATAAGGAATATTCTTTCCAATCCTCTCCACCCCTCCTCCATCATTAGCTATGAGTAAGAAACAGGCACATGCAAATGAGCAGTTTAAATCTTGGTTTTAAACAGCCAAAATACTGATTTTTTTGTTGTTGTTGTTGATTTTATTTGTTGATATGAACAGATTGAGTAAAAGGAGAGAGCATGAGAGTGAGAAAAAGTGAGAGAGTAAGAGAGAAGAAAACCTATAAATCAGCAGTATACAATGCCAAGAGCTCTGGATCAAGAATCAGAAGGCTTGGGCTCTAATTCCTTCCTTGTCATTGGCAAGTCAAGTAAGTCCTCTAAACCTCAGCCTTATTTTCCCCATTTGTAAAATGGAAGGGATTCGGCTTTATTATTTCTAAGGCTTGGTGTTACGCAGCTTCTAAGATGGCTCCCAATGATCTCACTTCCTGACATTCCTGCCCTTGTATCGTCCTCTTCCTCTGAGTTTGGGCTGGACCTGGTGACTTACTGTAATGAAAAGACTATGATAAAAGTGATGGGATCTGACTTTCCAGATTAGGTTATGAAAAGACTGTGGCTTCATTCCTGCCAGTCCTCTCCCCCTCTGTCTTCTCCGAGCTCTCACTCTGGGGAAAGCCAGCTGCAGGGCTGTGAGTTGTCCTTTGAGATGCCCACATGGAAAGGAACAGATGTCTCTGGCCAACAGCTAGCAAGGAACTGAGTCAGCTTGGAATTGGATTTCCCCAAGTCAAGCCTTGAGATGACTGCTGTCCTGGCTGACACCTTGCTTGCAGCCTTGTGAGAGACTTTGAACAGAGGCAGTATCTAACCCATGTCCAGATTCCTGACCTACAGAAGCCAGGAGGAAAATAAATGCTAAGTGTTGGGATAATTTGTTACATGATAATAGGAAACACTGATTTTTTTTAATTAAAAAATTCTGCCATATTAAAGGGCTGCTTGCCTCTGTAGAGGAAACACAAAAAGTCAAATCTTTCAGTCAATGTGGCCTGACTGAGATAAGAGAAGGAGAGAGGGGATATAGGTACAGTGCATGACTGAATATAGTATCTCCTACAGGTTAGGCAAAGGAATTGACCTTGCCTTGACAGACATGATTAGCTATGACAGAAGATGGGACTTGACTTCATAGTTTGTAAACTCAAGTTGTTCAAAATAACTAAACATCTAAATATACCTTCACTGGACCCTAAAGATTGTCACCTCTTTTCATCTCCTCTATGCTAAGATATTTGGATTTCCACACTGGTTAACATTACCCAAATGCTTGCCAATACATGGTTACCAAGGTCATCCCTGATTAGACTTTTACAAAGTTTTTGGTGTCAATAAATGGTGTGTGAAGCATCAGACTTATTTGTTCACATCACTCTTAGCGGGCTGTGCACTGAAGGAGATACTAAAGGAGGTGAAAGTTAAGAGCTCTCATTCATTGGATCACCCACCTCATTCATCTTGTTTATTCCATTGTATAATTTCACTTATTATGCAACACTGGTTTCCTTGTTGTTCCCTGGAAACAGCCCAGGCCTTTTTCTGCCTCAGGACCTTTGCATCTGCTGCTCCCTCTATTTGAATGCTTGTCCCCTCTATCTTCACATGCCTTACTCCCTCACATACTTTAAATCTTTACTCAAATGTCTCCTTCCCTCTGAATGTCTCTTCCCCTCCTTCCCAGAACAGCAAACAGACATTCTTTATCCCCATTCCTTGCCTTATTTTTTTTCCATGGCACTTAGCTTCTAACATACAGTGTCATTTACTCCTCAATCTGTCATCGCATGAAAGAAAATAAGCTCAAGGAGGACCAATGTTTCATATACACACTCTGTTCAGAGGTGCATTTGAAGCATCTAGAACAAAGTCAGGCGCCAAAGAGGTGCTCTGTAAATAGTTGTGAAGTCACTGTATAAAGTCATTTTATAAAGTCACTTTACGGAGCACATTATGAGCAATTTCTGCATGCTCAGGATAGTTCTAATTAGCACAAACTTCACTGCTTGTCATTTCCTAGCCCCTTAATGTCAGTAAATCTGTTTTTTTTTTTTTTTATATATAAAGGATTTGTTCATCACTTGCCAAAACAGCAGTTAACGCTCTGTCAAACTGCAGCTCATTTTACTGGCGTGAAACTGAACAAAGAATTGATCTCAGTTTTGAGGTGGGCTTTCTTAAGCATTTTGTCTTATAATTGACTTTTAAAGTATAGTAAGTTGAAAGAAATATTTAGAAGAAGAAGCTCTGATCACTAATAAGCTAAAAATTCCCTGACTGATATAAAAGAATAAAATAAAGCAAGACACAGCCTTCTTTCACTTAGCCCAAGAAAAAAATGCAGCATGTTTTTATATTTATCTGTATATTATTATTTTTTAAACTCAAGTGAGTTTTGATTGTTCCTTATTGATTAATTCATTAGCTCTGGATGTGATATGATAATGAAGGTGGACAATTTTATAATCCTGAACCTTTTAAAACAATGGGTTTTAATTGCCTCTGCCAAGCAAGAAAAGTTCATACAGTCAGTCCCTTGGTACCCTCAGGAAATTGGCTCCAGGACACCCCATACCAAAATCCGCAGATGCTCAAGTCCCTTACTGTTGGGCCTTGGGATACACAGGCTCATCATCCTCGGATTCTGTCTCGGATTGACGTGTTTGGTTGAATCCACGATGGGGAACCCATGGATAGGGAGGGCTGACTGTATTCTTCTTTGCCTTGACATCAGCATATCCTAGCAGCTACCAACAGCCCACACTAGAGAACTGAATGGAAGGGGCAGTGAAAACTATTGATAAGTGGTATGAAGGGGCCCTTCGTGGTCAAATATGTATTTCGTTCACTGTCCTGGTCTGCTCCTGCTGCCTCCAAGCTGATCAAGTATTAACTCACTTTTCCAGACCCTTGTGTTATGCAGGAAATGCTGAATGCAGATTTTGTTTCATTAAAACATTCAGTCTAGACACAGAAGGGAATAAGGGAATGCATCTTCTTCTGCATAACTCCAAATGTCTAAATCTAGCTGGCCCCTAGTCTTAAAGAACTAGGTTCAGGAATTATACTACAAGCAAAGGAATGGCAGCAATATCTTGGATAAGACAGAAGTGTTAAATATATGGAGATGCCTCTTCTCTGTTAACCTGCTGATGAGAAAGGGCTCTGGACTGATGTACTGGGACAGGTGTTTTCTTGCAACAACAGAAGTATCACTCAAAAACCGTTTCTTGATTTACTCTAGATATGAAGAAGATAGAATTTACCAAAACTTTCTTTTATCTCACAGCCTGCTTCCTTCTGCCACAATCGCAAGAAAACATCAGAGTAAAATCACAAGAATGCCCACGGGTCCCTAGATAAAGCAAATATTCTCTTTATAAGTTATTCAAGACTATTGGAAAACTAGGATGTCAGGAACCGGTCTTTACTTGTCTCTAAAAATACTATCAAGTTAGCAGTGATTGGATTAAGAGCCTTCTGGTTTAACTCTCTTACCTCTAACCACGCGACTACAGTGGGCCCATCCCACTGCGCAAAAGGTAATCCCTTTCTCCGAGCTTCTTCTAGAAGTTCATGCCTGAAGTATACAGCAAAGATTATCAGTCAGGTAATATGGGAAAAGACGGCAGTGATTATTTTTAATGACAATATTTTTTAAAAACCCAATAATCCTTTATAAGCTTTTTATGAGTTAATACAGAAATAACAGAAATCCTTCTTCCTTTGAATAATACATGCAAATCATCCATTGATTTTATTAGAAATGAAACACTGACATCTAAAAATAATTTTCCCCAACACCTATTCACTAAAATTCAAACATGAAATGTTAATGGACTAAGAAGCTGAATTTTATTATCAGCAAATATCATATTCCCTAAACAGGAAACTGGCCCACATACGCGTGTTCTGGCATGCACCACAGGATCTAAATGAGGCTTCTTCCATCTGTCTTGCCTGTTTCCCTTATTATTTCAGTAGTAGATAAATGCCTGTTTATAGAGGCAGAAGATCAAGTTGGTCATTTTAGCCCCATTCAAGTGATATGCTTGATTTTAGTATGCTCTCTGGGTCCAGGTGGCTATCTTAGGAGTTAGCTTTTTGTATAGACTACAAAATTACTTCTCATTTGAAGAGAACTCCGAGGTAAACTGACTTCCATCACTACAAAGCAATGTAAGGTGTAAAATTCAATAGTACACATTTCTATTTATAATCACTACTGGTTTTAATGAAAGCAAAACATCTCAATGACAACAAATGGTTGTTTCTGATAACAAAAAGTTGTAAAGAACCTTGACAAATGCATCTTTAATCACTATTTCTACTACTGACCCTTGACATCCATCTACAAAACCAATTTCAGATCGCTCGTGATTGAAATAGCAAGTTTCTGTTTTCTTTGAAACTCAAATTGATATATACCTGGCCAGGACTAGATTGGAAAATATATTCTCTATTCCTTAGATGCATTGATCCTACACACACATTTTTACACATATTGCTTTATGTTGACTGTGTGTCTTTCATGCTTAGGAACTCTAAAATGAAGCATTTAATTATTTCCTAGTACCAACTGATTAATTGTTTATTGTGGTGGACTATAATATGTTAAAATATATGATAAAAATGTCTTTTAACACAAAAGCTTTCCATGTCTGTGATGGATGCTACCAAAAAAATGCAGTGTGACAAATAAAACAGGGAGGCAAAACAAAAATTAAAGTTATAGTAGATGAAGAGACTCAAATCAACTGCTCTTTCATTTCATGGGATAGCAAAGAAGCATGTGTAAGCTATTCAGCACCTGGGAAAGGGAACAGCAACACTGGTGCCATGAATCCAAGGTGAAACTAGAGGGACTCCCTCACCTGGCTTGCTCTACCCTCACCCATTCCCTCAGGCTTCCCAGTGACATTCCTTCATTGAATACCAGATTTGAATAGCATAGTCTCACTGTGACAGATAGACAGAAATGGGTTGAAGGGTTAAACAACCAACCATCAGGTACTTATTGAGCACCTATTGTGAGCTGAGACCTGTGGAAATACAGACATGCACCCAGTTTTCCAGGAGATCCCTGGTTACGTAGAAAAAGCAAACACATGAAATTGTTTAAAAACATAGTACAATGCACAATTAGATGCCAAAACTCAGTGAGGCATATTCTGAGGGTGAGGGTTTTGGAGAAGGGGTTAGTAGCAATGGAAATGATCAGTGAAGGCTTTACAGCAACTGAACTGACTTCGAAGGGCTGGTTGGGAAGGAGTTACAGATGATGTTCCAATCTGGATGAGCAGTAAGGGTGGATGGGCAGAGGCAGGACTGAACACAGAATACGTGCAAGAAAATTTAGAGTAGGCTTCCACAGAGCCAAGAGCATTATTGAGAGTTGTAATATTATATCCATTAGGGAAAAAAATACTTCCAGTTATGTGACAGGTGAGTGGCATTAAAGGGGAAGAAACAAGTATACATTTACAACTGGTTTTTGCTACATTTAGCAAAAAAGCAAGTCAATATGCACTCAACACCTAGGAAGCACATAACATTTTCACAAGTGAATTACATGAACTGTACATACGCCATTTTTGAAAACTAGAACATTTTAATTCTGACTAGTTCCTTAATAAAAAAATGCACCACATGAGCTGGAGTGATCCTACTAAAAGTTAAATTGGATAATGTAACTTCTCTGCTCATAACTTTCCAGTTACTACCTGTCTCACTGAGAATAAAAGCTCATGCAGCTGATAGGATCCACCCTACCCTCTTCATCTTTCTGACTCAATTCCCATCTCACTCCGCAACACTAGTTTCCTTGTTGCTCCCTGGAAACAGCCCAGGCCTTTTTCTGCCTCAGGACCTTTGCATCTGCTGCTCCCTCTATTTGAATGCTTGTCCCCTCTATCTTCACATGCCTTACTCCCTCACATACTTTAAATCTTTACTCAAATGTCTCCTTCCCTCTGAATATCTCTTCTCCTCCTTCCCAGAACAGCAAACAGACATTCTTTATCCCCATTCCTTGCCTTATTTTTTTCTCATGGCACTTAGCTTCTAACATACAGTGTCATTTACTCCTCAATCTGTCATCGCATGAAAGAAAATAAGCTCAAGGAGGACCAATGTTTCATATACATACTCTGTTCAGAGGTGCACTTGAAGCATCTAGAACAAAGTCAGGCACCAAAGAGGTGCTCTGTAAATAGTTGTGAATGTTGAACACGTCAGCCAGTATTTACATTTAGCTGCTTCTTGTTTCAGCAACTTGCATCCCATAATGTACTTTTTAGTCCATTTTTTTTAGCCACTTTGTCAGCATAGCACCCATTCCACACGATTCTAAGAGTCTGATCTGGTTTGCGACCCCTGATAGGAATCTGGTTGAGGTAATCCAGTGTGTTCAAATAATCCTATTCTCTTTTTGAACAGAAATTTATCATACAATTGTTTGAGAAGTCATTGGACGATGTAAACCTTGGAAAAGTTTTCCTTTTTTTTGCTTTGTTTATTGTGTTTAAATCACAAACTCTCATAGCACAATAACTTTAGTATGAGTTTGCAAAGATAATGAAATAAGGGGGCTCAAGTCCAGTGGATTCTGCCCTTTGGTCCTCAGCTGGCAGGGCTAAATCCCAAGTAGAGGCCTTTGAAATGACACACTTGAAACTGTGAGAAACAGGCCAGATTGGAGTGGATGGCTGGATTTTACTCTAGGACTGTGTGCTACATGATGTTAACTCCAGACCTGCTTTTCCTTAACCCAAGGGCAGTTTTTATTATGTAAAGAAATGCATTGAAATTCTCAAAGCAATATTACATTTAATTCTTCTCTATTATAAAAAAAGTCTGCATTATACAGAATTTATAAGAGACATATATCTGGGCATATTGGCTTGAGAGAGAGGCACTGTTAGAAAAATAAAGCAATATGGGTAATGCTCTAATTGTTGGAAATCACTGAGTTTAATACATGATGATTTCCTAACATTATTAAGGGCATGTATAGCATTAATTTCATGGGGCCATTGTTGTCATTAGATATTTTGAAGTCACTGTCAGAAAAATATTAGAAATACTAAATATAAAGCTGATTTGGCCCAAACAGGCATTTTGTATATACTGGTGCTCTCTGTCCGTCCAGTGCATGTGTAGAAATTTATGCATTCTCTCTGTACCCCAGATTCAACCTTTTCAAAGGTTCAGTGACAGTTCTTCCAGAGCGATGTCATGATCACATTCTCCAGTACACATCTGCCTCTGAAATTACCGTCTTTCTATTCAGGCCTAAAGAAACATTTTTGCCTCCCTTCCTTCCTTCCTTCTTTTCCTCCATCCTTCCTTCATCCCTTCTTTCCTTCTTTCTTCCCTCCCTTCTTTCCTTCCCTCCCTTCTTTCCTTTCTCCCTCCCTTGCCTCCCTCCCTCCTCTCTTTCCTTCCTTCCTTTCTTTTAGACAATCTAATATTTAACCATCCTTTCCCCTCAAATCGCTTATACATTACTATAGTTATGGGCATCCATTTTTGTTTTAAGTTTTAGACCAGATTCAGTAGCACTTCCTTCTAGAGGAAGTTTCAGGTACAGGATTGTCATTTCCTGTGTGGAAACAAAAAAAGAAAAGTACTAATTGTAAGGGAAGGTCATTTTGAATCAGAAAAACTTCTGAGTCACTGAGTATTTTCAGGGAACACATTCTTGTCTGCAATAAAGAATACCATTAGATTCCCTCCAAAGGCCTCAGACTCTCTTGATAAGGTGTCAGTGCGTTACTGTAAATGGAATGTGACACATTAAGAAGGCCCAGCACTTGGGGAATGCTCAGGTGTGTGAGTAATTGGCAAGTTCATACAGAAATGTGCAGAGGGCAGCCTGCACTTGCCTGTGCCTGATCTGAAGACAGGAACAAAGCGTGGGCACCCTAGTAATGTCTAGACCCAAGGATTTCTAGATAAAGGATTGAGAATGTCTAAAAATGTAAATAAATCAAGGGTATTTTCCAGGCTTGTAGCTCCTAAATACTAATACAGACTAATTTAAGCAAGTATGATTTTGCTTAAATGATTCCATCCAAATAGAAATGTCTGGCTCCTCCTTTTCAGGTTTTATGTCTTTCTCCAATTACTTCAGTTTTGACCTCATAGGTGGAGTATGCTTACATTTCTAAGCTCTGTTTCCTTCACACTAAACAATATCCACACACCTTCCTGTCTTGTCTTCCCACTCACTTTATCTTGATTTTCAAGACACAACAAAAATAACTTCCTCTCAGAAGCCATCCTACCCTGGACCCGGGGGAAATATTTACTACTTATTTTTATAGGCCCCTTAGTACTAAACAATTTTCCCTAGAATATCTTTAACATTTTATTGAGTCAGAGATTTTAGCCAGTTTTATTTTTTGTTTTGAGGACAAAAAACAGATACATGGTAGGTCTACAAAAATCTAATGACTGACTGCCAAACCTAGTCTGGGGGCATACAAAGTCCCTGTTCTTCTACCCTTACAGTTTGGGAGAACAACTTGTAAATCAACAAATTCAATAAGATGATAAAACTCTGAGAAATGAAATTCA